GGAAGCTTTTAATGTTTAATAGGTTATTGTATTTTAATATTCTGTTGGAAGCCACCCAGAGTGGCTGGAGAAACCCAGTCAGACGGGCGGGGTATAAATAATAAAATTATTATTATTATTATTATTATTATTATTATTATTATTATTATTATTATGTTAATGTAGCTTAGTGGATGGATTACAGCAGAATGGAGCATTCAAATCTGTACTAAGCCATGATGCTTGCTAGATGTCCCTATTCCAAGCTGCTGTTCCACCCACATGCATAGACACAGGGGACCCCTGCATCTCTCCCCCAAGTGTGGGAAAGCAGTTTTGGACAAGTGATTTTGAACAAATAGTAGGAAGAGAAGCGATTAAACAACTCATTCACAGTCCCATCATTGTTCATCTCCTGATAACAGCCTCTGAGTTTCCTTTTCAGTTAAGAAAAACATAAGCAGGTAAAAGAAACATGCGGCCTTTTATATTGTGACATATAGTTGAACAGTTAATTCCTCACCTGCCTGGGAGCACTTTTTGTGTGCGTACACATGTTCTAATGACCTTGTCTGATTGATTTTATATTGTGTCAGAGTTAATTGCTGGGCAGGTTGGTGGTTTTAATATATTTTAATACAGATGTTTAATTACATTCTGCTAAATGCTGCCTTGCACTCGTGTTGAGACTCCTTTGTGATGAGACATCTCCCAAAGCCAACTTGGGTGAGTTCTCTCAGTTGCCAAACATTCTACTGTTCATTGGAGAATGCTCTGCCATACATTGATGACCGGCAGCAGTTTTCAGCTTTTTGATAGGCTATTGAGACTGTAATGACCTCAAGGAAATTAAAGAGAAATTACCCTTTGCTCCATGTTTGGTTTATGATGGACTATTTTAATTTTAAAAAACATGCCTTGTTTGGCCAGGATTCCACACAGGTTATGCAGAATGATTGTTTCAAATTAAGTGTTCTGTATACCCGCTCTTAAATTAATAAGCTTAGCCCTTCATTTCAAAAAAGGTAAATGTTAAAGAGGAACAAGAGGATGCATGTTACATACAGAAAATGGACAAGACTTCTCTTTTAACCATTGCCCCCCAGCTCCAAGCCAACTTGATTACATGCTAATTCGTTATTGAATTATAACCTCTTTTAGATAGACTGTGGATAGGCTTTCCCCTTTCCTATCCAATGGACAAGCAAAGAGTAGCTATTCGCCCCACCCATGGGTTGTAATGACCTTAAAGCCCTTGGTAAGTTTGGTATTACCATGCAGAGAGAAATATACCAAGACTACTCATTTTATTCTTTGGGACGCAGGTGGCGCTGTGGATAAAAGCCTCAGCGCCTAGGGCTTGCCGATCGAAAGGTCGGTGGTTCGAATCCCTGCGGCGGGGTGCGCTCCCGCCGTTCGGTCCCAGCGCCTGCCAACCTAGCAGTTCGAAAGCACCCCCGGGTGCAAGTAGATAAATAGGGACCGCTTACAAGCGGGAAGGTAAACGGCGTTTCCGTGTGCGGCTCTGGCTCGCCAGAGCAGCGATGTCACGCTGGCCACGTGACCCGGAAGTGTCTTCGGACAGCGCTGGCCCCCGGCCTCTTGAGTGAGATGGGCGCACAACCCTAGAGTCTGGCAAGACTGGCCCGTACGGGCAGGGGTACCTTTACCTTTACTTACTCATTTTATTATATTTATCACTGTAAATCAGGCATAGGCAAACTCTAGCCCACCAGATGTTTGGGACTACAATGCCCATCATCCCTAGCTAACAGGACCAGTGGTCAGGGACGATGGGAAGTGTAGTCCCAAACATCTGGAGGGCCGGAGTTTTCCTATGCCTGCTGTAAATGTTACATCTGGCAGTGATCCAGCCTTACGCTGTCACTCAATGCACTCTCAAATCTGCTGACGGGACAAGAAAGAATTTCACATTCTCCTCCTGACAACCAAATCAAAGTATGATCTGGGTATTGTCAGCATACAATAATTTAGTGCTGCAGATAATGTTCTCTTTGATGCCGAGAAAGAACGGTAAAACAAAAACGACTGAAATACTTCTCTTGTTTTCAAAAGAGAGACTTCTTCTGTAGTGAGGAAATTGCTAAGATCGTTATTACCGTTTTGAACATGTGTTTTTTGACATTCGAGAAGGTGTGGAAGATCTATTGAAAACATAATAATTTAATGAAAAAATAATACAGGCCCAGATTTAAGGTTGTGTAATTCTGCGCAACAGTACAGTCATACCTCGGGTTACGAACACTGCGGGTTGCGTGTTTTTGGGTTGCGGACTGCGCTGAACCTGGAAGTACTGGAACTGGTTACTTCCAGGTTTTGGCGCTCACGCATGTGCAGAAGCACAAAATGGCATCACACGCATGCGCAGAAGTGCTGAATTGCGTCATGCGCATGCGCAGACGCAGCACTTCAGGCTGCGAATGCTGTGGATTGCGAATGTGCCTCCTGCATAGATCACGTTCACAACCAGAGGTATGACTGTATTGGAGAACTGGGGGGAAACTGCATGAGGGTGCTGCAGAATGCCTTGGAATTCTAATGTTTACCTATAGAAATATAGCAATTAGTGCCAGCTGGACAACTGTAACAGCCCTGTCATTGTGACCAGCTATCTCAATGACTCATTGTCCAGCTGGCACTAATTGCGCTGTCTCTTTGGCCTTGCTTGAACCTATTTGGATCAGGTGTTTGGGTAGATATCCCTGTCCTCTTCTGGGTAACATATATTGACACTTATTTTGTAGTGTATGGACACTTGCATGCATGTACCAAGGTGCAGACAAACTGGATGGTATTCAACTAAATAGAGATGTTCATTAATTTCAGTTGATATACTCTCAGTAATACTAAATTGAATACCATCCACTGTGTACTGTGATTGTTCTGCTCTGAGTCTGAAACCCTGATGCAACAAAGCAAAGCTTTTTTTTCGGCAAAGAATAAGGGATCCTGAAACACTTATTGTGTATCATGCAAGAAACTAATTGCAGTGCCTTAGCCTGCTTTAATTGCTATGGTAATTTAAATGACTTGTGCATTTTGCTGTAATTATAGTGTCATTCAGGCCACAAACCTTGCGGAAGCAAAAAATAAATATTGCCTCGTTGGTAAAGTTGTTCAGCCTATTATGCCAGCGATAGCGTTAAGAGACCAACAGGGGTTCATCAATTTAGTCCCCATTTAAGCAAATTATTTAGGATTATTTTTGTTCTATTTATGTTGAATAATTCACAGGAAATAATCAAAGTAGTGCTTGCTGAAGTCTGCTTTACATATTCTCCTCCTCCTCTCCATCCCCTAAGCATCTAAAGACAAGTGTCAGTACAGTCGAGCAGCATAGCAGCACCCCTCAGAAGGATTAGACCAATTACTACTTCATTGTGCGCATTCTAGTAGTTTATTGCAGTTTATCGGCAATTGCAAGTGACACTATGATGAGGAGTTGCTTGGCACTGTGTGGATTAGTAAATTGGTCAGCTGTAGTAAGGAGAATTATGATGTGCATTACTTAAAATGGATTTATGCAAATCTTCCATTGGATCTGTGGCTTTAAATGGAATCTACGCTAAGTACTAAATGGGGTGGTTGCATGGAGCTAGCAGATTCATAATTTAGAAAATCTTAACCTTACGACATGTGCATATCCATGATCCTGAATATGTGGCATCACTTTCTGGCGAGGCATACTTTTTTTAGGTAATAATGGAAGAATGGGATCTAATAGAATTAGGGGACTCTCCTAAGACAAGATCTGATGGGATGAGCAGCTTAGGATGCAGCTGATCTTTGGCTCAGCTGACTGATTCCTAGCTCAGCTATGCTCAGCCAGCAACAACTTTGTTGGGTACAACCAAGTGACTGTGGTTTCAGAGTTTATCCAATGCTTATAAAGGTAAAGGGACCCCTGACTGTTAAGTCCAGTCGCGGATGACTCTGGGGTTGCGGCTCCCATCTCGCTTTACTGGCCGAGGAAGTGGACGTTTGTCCGCAGAGAGCTTCTGGGTCATATGGCCAGCATGACAAACCAGAGCAGCACACGGAAATGCCGTTTACCTTCCCGCCGGAGCGGTACCTATTTATCTACTTGCACTTTGACGTGCTTTCAAACTGATAGGTGGTCAGGAGCAGGGACAGAGCAACGGGAACTCACCCCGTCGTGGGGATTCAAACCGCCGACCTTCTGATCGGCAAGCCCTAGGCTCTGTGGTTAAGACCACAGTGGCACCCATGTCCTATCCAATGCTATACGCTCTCACAAAATAATAATGATAATAATAATTTTATTATTTATACCCCGCCCAACTGGCTAGGTCTCCCCATCCACTTTGGGCAGCTTCCAGCACATATAAAAACATAATAAACTGCCATACTTTAAAAACTGCCTCCAGGTGTCTTCTAAAAATTGTGTAGTTTTTTATCTCCTTGGCATCTGATGGGAGGGTGGTTCACAGGGTGGGCGCCACTGCCAAGAAGGCCCTGCTCCTGGTTCCCTGTAACTTCACTTCTTACAGTGAGGGAACCACCAGAAGACCCTCAAAGGTGGACCTCAGTGTCTGGGCTGAATGATGGGGGTGGAGACTCTCCTTTAGGTATACTGGGCTGAGGCTGTTTAGGGCTTTAAAGGTCACAACCAACACTTTGAACTGTGCTCGGAAAAGAACTTGGAAATATGGTGAAATTAAAACTAGGTTGCAATGAAACCCCTTTTGTGCGTGAAAACATTGAAGTGATTCCATCCACTCATGCACAGACCTAGAACTCCTCAACTCAAGTAAGAAACCATCTGTTGGTAAGTTTGTTTTCCTTAATCTCTGCATAGGGTGCCATTTCAGTTCTAATACCATTCTCAATTTTAATCAGTTACCGGATTTGTCTCCTTTGCTCAGCCGAGCTGCCTAATGGCTATTGGATAATGGTTAGAAGAATGCAAAGAGTAAAGGAAGCCATGGTGGCTCATAAGGAAAACACCAAAATCCATATTATTGTAAGACCTTTATTAGGCCAACCAAAAATGTGTGCAAACTTTTGAGTTCTGCAGAACTCTTCATCAGGCTACATGATAAATGGGGCAAGGCTGGCAATGGAGAGGGGGGCACAAAAAAAAAGTGAAATAGTGAAATGTGCATCTGGTCACACCTTTAAGATGGAATGAGGGAGGAGGTAGCAGACATGGAAATGGGGTTCTTTAGGTGCTCTGCAGGTTTTGGGTTGCACCCAGAGCTGCTAGGAAGACAAAACTGCTTCTGAGAGCCATCGCTCCATGGTAGAGCATCTGCTTTTCATGCAGAAGGTCCCAGGTTCAATCCCCAGGAGCTCTGGGGAAGTCCTGAAGAGCTACTGCCCAACAGAGTAGAACATATTGAGTTAGTTGGGCCAATGGTCTGACTCAGGAGAGGGCAGCTTCCCATGAAAATACAGTGGTTTAGGCCCCATATATGAAATACAAAATCCAGCCGTTACTCAGGAGAATGCAACAGCAATCTTTTTTAAAAAATAATAATCTGGAAATTAAATGTGCCATGTTGATAATGGTCCTGGTAGTAGCTGCAACCTGGAAACAAAAATCAAGATCTTCATAAGACAAATCCCCTGTGCTTTTGAAGCTTAAATAAAATAATATAATAATAGGCACAGTCCACAGGGAGCATAACCTGAGCAAACCATGAGTTTCTGCAGCTGCCATTCATTGCCCTGGAACTTCTGCAACTGTTCTGTTGGGTTGCTTCCCTGTTGGGTTGATTCACCATCGGGAATCGTTGTAGAGCCAGAATTCTTCTTGGTATTGTTGCTCCACTGATGGGAGCAGGTATTTCGCTGCAGGATAGTGCATCCACCTCTGAAATGAAGATTCCCATCTTCATGATGAAATGGTAGGTCCCAGAATTATCTCCTTGATTCATTCCTTATCTTCTGCCTTGCCTTGATTGATCTGTAAACTGCTTTGGGCAGCTTTTTCTGGCTGAAGAGAGAGAGGAAATATTTAAATGAATAGTAATAAATAACCAAACTTTTTGTTTTGTTTTTTTAAGGATGAAATTACAGTTCTAGAAGTCAGCACCCCTCCCAGGCCTTAGTGCTTCCGAATGATGCAGTGATTGCATCCACTCATACTGAGACCTTGAATATGTCCACTAAATTAAGAAAATAACCTTGAATCAAGCTATCTTCAGTTCTCAAGGAATCTGTCTTCCTTAGTGCCTCTCCACACTTTGGCTTAATGTGGATGGTGAATCCTTGTGCCTTTTTGTCCGCGTGGGTTTCTCCAACTACTGCTGCTCCACACTTTCTCCTTCTAAATTAAAGGATTGCCTGATACAGCTCTCCAATTTGTAATTTGTAATTTCAGAGCATGCAAACCTCTGGATTTAGGGAGGAGAAATTGTGGAACAGCAATAATTGGAAGAGAAGAACACATGGATGAGGGGCATTTAAGGAGACAGAAGGGGTTCACAACCCATATTAAGATGAGGTATGGATAGGCCCTTAATCTCCACATAAGTGGATGCCATTTCTTTTCATCATCTGAGTACCATCCTTCAGACTTTTCCCACTTCTGACTCTGTTCTGAGTTGTTTCGATTCATGGCAATGAAATGCAACATTAATTCTGTGGCCTGCAAGATTCATTTTGGTGCCCTTCCTTAAACAATTGACGCCATTGCTGGGATGTTGGTCTATGCAAATTTAACAACGTCATCATTTTTAACTGAAAGTTGCTTTGATTACATTTTGGAGAAAAGCCACACACAAAATACTACACATGAATGAGTACATATTAATTCTTGAACTGACAGGCAGTCTGGTCCAGTGCATAGAAAGCTTGCGTCAGATTCAAATCCGTCTTCAGCCAAAAGGTCATGGGGTATCCTTGGACAAGTTGCTGTCTCTCAACTTCTGGTGCATTATCTGTAAAAAACAGTAATTATTATTGCTTTACAGCAGTGATAGGCAACATTTTCTCTGTGGGTGCACCCCTCTCCCAAAGTTCATTGCCAGCTGCACATAGTTGTAATGCAACTGCTGGGGCTGGAATCAGGAATTCATGGCTACGCCTCAGGTGCTGAGCCAAGAAGGCAAAATGTTGGAGCAGATCCCTAGACCAGGGATCACTGGCATGGGACCCACTTGCCAGTGACTCCTAATGTGTTTGCAAAAGGTCTCAGTAAATATCCCCTCAAAATTATACAATATATGAGGAACCGCTTACTCTTCTAGTTTGCACCAGCTCAGCATCTCTTACACTGAACGCATATCACAGGAGCCTGCTGATCAATAATCACATAGTCCAAAATTGGAGTTAGTTGACTCTACAGTCATACCTCGGGTTGAATGTGTTTCAGGTTGAGTGCTTTCGGGTTGTGCTCCGCGGCAACCCAGAAGTAACGGAGCATGCTACTTCTGAGTTTTGCCACTCACGCATGCACAGATGCTCAAAATGACATCACACGCATGTGCAGAAGTGGCAAAACATGACCCGCGCATGCGCAGACACGCCGTCGTATCTTACATTCTATTCAGGATGCAAACAGGGCTCCGGAACGGATCCCGTTCGCATCCTGATGCACTACTGTATTAGCAAAAACACAATCTGCACAGACTTGGTTGAGCGCCAGGCCTAATGAGCTCACTCCTGGTGGTCTTACTCCATGAGTTTCTGACTTACTCCATTAGTTTCTGAGACTGAAAGCCCCCACATCCTCACAGCCATCTAAGTTCCCTCCTCTCCAGGGCTTTTTCCAAGCAGTCAGAGACTGTGCCTGAATTCTGGGAGACAAGGGTGGAGCAGAGTTCTGGGTTCTGGGAGACAAGGGTGGAGCGGAGCTTGTTGCAGCAGAAGAGAGAAACACCTGTGACTCTTCACCAGCCTGACTCATCTCTGCCTCTTGGGCTCCCTCATCCCACTCTCCTGCTTCAGCTTCTGCCTCTGATTCTAGACTTCTCTCTGCCACCGCCTCTCCCAGCTCACTAAACCCTGTTACTTCTTCAGCTTCTGACACCTCCTCTTCCTGGTCTCCTCTTCTCCCTCTGACCATTCATCATTGTCCCACCACCACTCCCCGGGCTCTGAGGATTCTTCCCTTGGTGGTTCTCCAGCTGGTTCCTTCCACCGTTCCTCTGCATCTAGCCACTCCATGACAACATGGCACCGTAAACATGCCCACATGTCACTGGATGCCAGGAACGGATACCCACCTTCCCATCTCTTCTGAACAACAGAACTCCAAGAGGGTCTCTCTGTAAGTGAGTGCAGGGATGGTTGATGTAGGTCCCCATATTTATGAGATGGCTTACGGGGAGAGGGCATTCCCAAACCATTTTGTGCCATTAGGCCACACACATTATGTCACAGTAGCTATTTTGTGACATGCCAACCCTCCTTGGTACCCATTTGGTGTTGTGCCATGCCCCCACAGAATGCCATGGCATTCTGAGAAAGTTCCACATGTGCTCACTGGCTCAAAAAAGCTTGGTGACCCCTGCCCTTGGCAGTAAAAGATGTTTAGATACTGTGGTGAATTGTCTCTCTCAGGCTGGCCATTGACTGTTCTCCACAAGAAGACTATAAATCCCAGTGTTGTACCAACATCTGTCCTCCAACTTTTTGGAAGTATTTGTCTCCTGGGAAAGAAGTTTCCATTTTTCTGCCTCTTTCTCGGGGTTCTTTAGAATTTCTTTAGAATTCTGGAGACAGGGAAGAAATTGGTTCACTTGGCATTGGAATGTGAACTTCCCCAATTTGCAATTGCTGAACCAATAAGCCAACCAAAACACAGCTCTCCTTCAAAATTCGCACTTCTCCAAATTTTGTGATGCAGTTCTCTAACCCAGAAGTGTGCATCAAAATGCATATATTAGTGAAAATAGTGTATAAAACATTATATCAGAGAAATTTGCTTGCAAAAAAAAGGTGTCTATTAGGCCAAATTGCGAACAAAATTGCATATGTTAGGAAGAATGTGTGCAATACTTCATGCTGTTTTTAAAGAAAAAAATGCAAATTGATGTGGCAATGTGACAAAGCGAGTTTAAGATTGAGAAACTGAGAGAACTTAAAACTGACAATCCTATGCTTACTTAACTTGCTTCTGAGTACAGTAGACTGTAGTGTAGGATATTACTGTAAAGATATTTCCACACAACAGAAACCAAAATTGCACATCATGTAACACACACACACACACACACACACACACACACACACACAGCCTTTTTGCTGCTTGTCCTTTTGATGGCCCTAATACAGGTGTGCAGAAATGGCCTCTCAAAATTCTCCCCCCTATTTGTGGGCAAAGAAATTGGAAATAACTTTTCCACTGAGTTTCTCCAGTGTAGAGGTCAGGAGAGAAATTCTCCAGCAGTTTCTCAGGGGTGGATCTCATCATTAGCAGAGGCATGGCCTGGCCTTATCACTAACCTCTTTCTTTCCTTCTTTCTTTGATACCCCAGGGCATGCCCAAGACCTACACCAATTCTCAGCCATTTTGTGAATGGTGGGGCAAGTAGCAGTGTCATCCCCCACAAACAATGATGGAGAATATTCAGTGAATATGCAATGCCTCGAGGACTGCCTTGCCACACATGAACCAACCTGGGTCCTTCTCCATGTGTCTCCTCAGGGGGTGGGTGGAGGGGGGCGGTGGCATGAGAATGAGTGTTTCATGTAATGTTGTCCCCAGTGGCCCTATCACTATTTGTTTTTAGTCAACAATCAAAATCATTTTTCTTCAGCAGGCCTTTGGACCTTAATTTTCTGGTAATTAGTGGGGTGGGATTTTAGTGGGCTGTGGACCAGTGGCGAAGCTTCATGCTCAGGCACTGGGGGGCAGAGAGCAGGCGGGGGCATGGCACTCCACCCGCAGAGGTGTGGCGCACGTCCTGGGGGTGTGGCGTGTTGCGCGCAGGGGCGGGGCGTGCGTCCTGGGGCCGGGCACACCGCCTGCAGGAGCATGGCGCCCAGCATGGGTGGGGGAGCAGCCGTGATAGCACCCAACTGGGATCGTGCTGCTGGGGGCGGTGCGCTCCCCCCGCACTCCTCTTCCTCCTGTGCTGTGGACCTGTCTTTTATCCATATTTTCAGTGAGTGGTTTCAGATGTTATTAACTCTTGTTTTTACACTTGCTTTTAATATTAGGTTTTGTAAGTGTGGGGGGACAAGAAAGAGCTTTTAAAGAAATGTCTTCAGAAAGTTATCTTCTGAGAAATTGTAGCCCACCCCACAGAAATGTGTTGATTATGGTATTGATGGCAGTGCTTCCAAACAACCAGCAGTTTTACACTGTAGAGGTGGTTTCCACATTACATCTATCTATGTATCTATTGGATTCATACCGGTTGGCCTTCAGTCTGCTCATCCCCCATGATTCACTTTTCAAAATGCAGGTCAGCCAGCTCAGAGTTAGTGCTGTGACATCATAAAACAGAGACCTGTGCATCAACATGGAATTACGGTGTCCTCGTATCATAGGATAACATAGGCCATGTCGATATGGATTGTTCCTGGCTGTGTGACAGCGCCCTTAAAAAAACGCTTTTCTTCCTTCCTTTCTTCTTTGGCAAGATTCCACGCCCAAAAGTGAGGAAGGTGAAGAATACGATTTGCTCCCTTGTTGCCAACAGGTTTAAGAATAATCAGCAGATGGTTTCTGAGTGAATAATCCAACTGGAATAATGTCAACACCACTATTGAATTTGCTCCTCTATTGGATTATTCTCAAGATAAACTACAACTTGAGCTCATTAGGTACATGAATTTCAATCCCCCTCCAAGTCGAGTGATGCATCGAGGAGAGAACAAATTAAAAGAAATGTGGCCAGCAGTGGAAAAGGATTTGCAGAAATGGCTTCTAAGAAGCTCTTAAATATTAAATGTTATGTTTAAATGTTACCAGCATGCATATAGAGCAATAGGTCTATTGGCACTGGGAATCTTTGTGGAGTGGTCTTAATAATTTAAGCAAAAGATGTGCTCCTTTTTTCTTAGACCAGGTGCAGGCAGTCCCTCCCCTCCCTCTGTTAAGGCCTTCATTCCCTTGGAAGTTACATCCCACAGGAAGTAATCTGTTAGGGGCCACATGCTAGTAATAGGTGGGGCCAGATGCCAGATATAAAAGTGGGTGGGGCTACCACATTTAACTCCTTCTTTCTAAGACCTTTCTTTCTGCTCTTTCTCCTCTCCCACTGGGCTGCTAGGCGAGGAACAAATCACTCTCACCAGGGAGAGATGGGGCAATTGTTCATCTGGTCACAGGGACCCAGTGAGGTAGAGGTAATTTATCTGCAACACAGTGGAAACATAATGGAAGCTGGCATGATAGATCATGTGGTTGTGCTGGATGTGGACATCCAAAACTTTTGCAACATATTATTTGATCCTGTTCAAGACATTGCCCAGCTGTGGATGAACAAATTTATTGTTTACACAATGGCTACAATTTCCTTTTTCCAATGAGCATGTAAGTAAATCAAGCCATTCAGTTGTGTGTATTCAGTTCTCAAGCCCTCTTTAGCAGTTGGTTTCTTAATAGCTGAGAAGGTAGCAGGGTCCCAATACCTCTTAATGGATATATTCAAGATTAACAGTCATTCCTCTCAGAAGTAAGTCCTATTGAATTCAATGGGACATGGTAACTTTAAATCACCCCCAAAGAATTGTGGGAACTGCAGTTTACCTCTTTCATAGCTACAGCACCCTTAAGAAACTCCATTTCCCAGGAGCCTGTGTGTGTGTGCGTGTGTGCTTTAGATGTGATTTAAAGGCATGGTTTGTATTTAGCCTTATTCCCAGGTATGCATATATAGAATTGCAGCCTAAAAAGATGTCCACAAAAGCATTGCAAATCAAAAGCATAAGTTCCATTCAATTTTAAATTTATTATCTATAAAAACTGGGCATAGAAATGTGTTCA